TGATTGGATAAGTGCGGGTGCAAGTTTGTGTGCGGTAGGTGTGAGAATGAACGGATGAGATTTGTGGGCATACGTGTGTGTGTGTGTGTGTGTGTGTGTGTGTGTGTGTGTGTGTGAGAGAGAGAGAGAGAGAGAGAGAGAGAGAGAGAATGTGTGCGTGTGTCTGAGATTTGGAGAATGTGAGTGTGTGTGTGATTTAGAGAATGTGTGTGTGTGTGTGTGTATGTGTGTGTGATTTAGAGAATGTATGTGTGTGTGTGTGTATGTGTGTGTGATTTAGAGAATGTGTACGTGTGTGTGTGTGTGTGTGTGTGTGTGTGTGATTTAGAGAATGAATGTGTGTGTGTGTGTGTGAGAGAGAGAGAGATTTAGAGAATGAATGTGTGTGTGTGTGTGTGTGTCTGTGTGTCTGTGAGAGATATTTAGAGAATGTGTGTGTGTGGGTGTGAGTGTATGTGTATGTGAGAAAAGGGAGAGAGTGTGGGTGTATGTGTGTGTAATGGTGTGGGCATGTGTGGATTTGGCATTTTAGACCCCAGCTTTATTCTATATCATTCACGCCGGAACTGCTGCGGCATAGCCCCAAGTCTGAAGACTTGGCATCTTCACGCCTACACCTGACTCTTGCGCTATGATACGCGTCGCCTATGATACCCCTCAGAATTTCGCACCTTGCTCCCCCTTATGTTCTGGCTTTCCGTTTTGGATCCATCAGTTGCTTGATGATCGTAGTAATACGTGAAACTCAGAGTTGTAACAAAGCTTCCAATCTCTCTCTTGTGTATTTTCTACTATTAATTTTGTATTATGGATTCTCCACAGGCCTTAGCCTAAATCGAGGGAGTCTCTGTCAACAGCTTATGAAGAAGAAGCTGAGGAGAGACATAAAAATAGGAGATAGAATGATGCGGGGTGGCAGTAATATATCACAGTGCTCTAAGACATCGCTACTCTACGTGGAATGAAACCAGAGGGCTCATAACGGGTGATAGCAAAGTGTGTGCGGACAAGAGCGGTAAAACATTTTCGGCTGGATACAGTACGAATGGCAGCCGGGAGGGAGTTCCATGTGGCAGTGGTGACAAAGAGAAAGGTGGCACGGGTGTGTGTGCTGGCTCTAGCAGGTGGGAGTATAAACAAGGCTGGTCTACATAGGCAGCTCGAGGTAGAAGACACAAACCAGGGGCGAAAGCCTGTGTAGCTGTAACCTTAAGTTTCACGCATTTCAGCGATCATCAGACAGCAGCATTCAGTGTATTAGGGCCGGGTTCCACTGCGGCTCCGCTGCTCCGCTGCTCATCTTTCGCGGCTTGAAACGTCATCATTACCATAGTGACCGCGGCTCGAGCTGGAGCAGCGAGACCGCGGCTCACCGCGAGCTTTTGCTACGATTCTTGACCAAAAACTGCGAGCCGCGGTCGCGGCTCGACCTGTTTCCCGTACTTTGCATTGTTTTGTACGCCAGAATTTTAAAATTCAAATTTTAATTCGTTGCGCAGGCCAGAACACGAGGATTTTTTAGATTTCGCGCGCGCGCGCGCGCAGGTAGGTGAAACGTCATCAAAAATGTGGACCACGACGGCTGTACCGCGAATGGCGAGTGCCAGTGAAACCGCGCTGCTCCGCTGCATGCAGCCAAGTGCCGCGGAGCCGCAGTGGAACCCGGCCCTAACTGTCACGAGAACATAATATTATTATTTTTGGTGTAAATTCAGTAATCCTAGTAAGCCAAGTACGCTGCATTCAGACTACAGTCAGACCTCGCATAACCGCACACATCTGTTTTCCACAAAAAACATCCGGATAGGCGAGGGAACCGGATATCCGAACACCGTTTATGTTGGATGCATCACGTATGATGTAAATATGTAACCAGCTATTGTCTTCCGGATGGCGAGGGATCCGGATAAAAGAGGACCGGATAAGCGAGGTCTGACTGTATAACTGTAAAAGGCAGTAGAGTACACACTATCGCACGCCTGGAACCTGGCAGGTCCCCGACACCCAAACTTGAATGGACCTAAAATCACAGGTTTGGAACTGTTACTGTGAGCGTCTTGGCGTGCTATTCCGATGTGCTCCGTGTGGTTTAGACCAGGTGTGCACTGGCGATTAGATTATAATTATGGTTTCACCAGGATCCATTGCAAACTAATGCAATCTTCTCTTGCGACGGGCGTACATGTCCATGTACATGGCACATGTCAGGTGTTTGTGTGCGTGTGTTTTTGTGTATATGTGCGTGCACAGGTGCCATGCACGCGCGTGCATGCGTGTGTGTGTTTGTGTGTGTGTGTGTGTGTGTGTGTGTGTGTGTGTGTGCAGGTGTGCAGGTGTGCAGGTGTGCAGGTGTGTGTGTGTGTGTGTGTGTGTGTGTGTGTGCATAAAAGTGTTTGTGTGTGTTTGTGTGTGTTTGCGTGTGTGTGTGTGTGTGTGTGTGTGTGTGTGTGTGTGTGTGTGTGTGTGTGTGTGTGTGTGTGTCTGTATGCGTGATGCAAGCATGTGGTCAGGTGTGGTGAGCTATACATTTGCTGGTGGACAGATGCACTTTGCTCCTTTTGTTGCCATATTACAGAATGCGCTGGCGGTTATCCTGTCGCTCTCAGCAGTGATTGTTGCAAGTTCCGCTGATGCTTTTACTTCTGGTGAGTCTTCTGATTATTGTTTTATTACAATTATTATCGCCTGAAAGTGCTGTGGGAGCACGTGACCATTCTGTCCTTGTGGGTGTCACGCTGCAGTGTTACATCTATTACAGCACATGCCTTGTCCCCTGCTTACGGTCTATCTTTGCGGGTTTGCGTGTCTTTCCTCACTGTACAGATTTAAATGGCAGGACCGAAGATAGCAGCTACACACGGCACAGACAGCCTGCTGAAAGTGGTGCAGTTCAGAGGCAGGGAAAGAATGTTCAGAATGACCAATGTGCCAAGTTTGTGTCCTGGGACAGTAACAGTACCTCTTGGGTTGAGACGTGTCCTGCTGGCAGGTATTCTGCTGCTGGTGTTGCTGGTGCTGCTTCTTTGAGTAAGTGTCTCGAGTGTTCAGAGGTGTGTGCTACCTGCTCTGATCTAAGAGTTTGCACGTCTTGCAGTCCAAACTTCATCCTTCAAAACGGAGGCTGCTACAGGAGCTGTATGACTGAATATGTAGAGCTACAGCGAAACAAGGGTCCCAGGGCAAGTGTTCGACTCAGCTCCAGTGCTTCAGAGAATCTGCATTCGGTGTCCGTCCAACACGGTCGACTAGAAGTGCTCGATGTGGACGGCCACTGGGGAACTGTGTGTAACAAGAGCTTTTCTCGGCAGTCAGCTGATGTCGTGTGCAGGCAGCTGGGTCTGGGAATCGCCGCGGCCATTACAAGCGGCACGCACCCGATTGTTGGCCACGGGGCGCCCATCAATCGTGCCGGTATCAATTGCACTGGGAACGAGAGTTCCATACTAGAATGTCCAGCACAGCATCGCAATGCTGTGTTCTGCAGTCATGTTGAAGACGTTGAAATCAAATGTTCCGGGCCTAATACGAGCCGATCCTGCATCAAGCCCCCCTGTCTGCGTGGATTCCGCCCCATTGAAAACGAGCAAGGCCATGTTATCAGCTGCGAGGCATGTGACAGCCGGTGCATCACGTGCAGTGGCGCATCAGGGAACTGCTCCGAGTGCTCGTTCGGACTATTTCTCAGCCGGCCGGCAGGAAACGGAAGCCGAACCTGCGTCGTCAACTGTGAGGATGGCTTTTACGGCAATGTGGCGAGAAAGCAATGCCTTCCGTGTTCTCCATCTTGTCTTGCATGTGTAAACAGCCCGACCGGCGGGGATTTCGTGTGTACAACATGCAAGTCGAGTGCTGAGTATCCGCTGGGTGCAGTGTGTGTGGCCGCCTGCCCGAATCATACGTACGTGGACCGGCCGTCGAACGCCTGCAGGCTGTGTTCGGAGAAGTGCTTGACGTGTGCGGACGGTTATGGCAATGGCACCTGCACCAGCTGCCGGACTCCGCTGGTTTTGGACAGGACTTCGTCGTGCGTGCAGCGCTGTGCACCGCCGCGGTTTGCACTGCACGGCCGCTGTGTGGCGACGCAGTGTCCGGATGGCTACTATGAAGACATGGCCAACCAGGCCTGCCGGACATGTCCGGCCCTGGAGTCTTGCCTGAGCTGTGCCAATGCGACGCACTGCGCTCTGTGCCAGTTCCCAGCTCTGGAGGAACGCGGCAAGTGCGTGCAGCGGTGCTCGCCCGGTTTGCACGCAGAGGATATTCTTCCCTCGAGGCAGCGCGCTCGTCTTGTCGGTGGTACTTCCTTTGCCGCTGGCCGAGTGGAGATCTTCCATGCCAACCAATGGGGAGCTGTGTGTGATTTCACTTGGGGCCTGCCGCAAGCAATGGTGATATGTCGTCAGCTTGGGTATGGCAATGTAACCATAGCCTTACTTCCCAGGATGAATACAGACTTTTCTCCAGTCTGGCCTGCTTCTATCAGGAGTTGTCGAGGTGACGAGTCAACGTTATTGAGCTGCAATCTCGGTAGATTGGACACCCAGCGCTGCCACGATAGTACAGATTTCGCACGTGTAGTGTGTGGCGATGCGACGGTAAGGCGTTGCATCAGCCAATGCCCCCATGGTCACTATGGGTCTCCATTGACCGGATGCAATCGATGTGCTGCTTACTGCCAGACATGCCATTCTACGCCGTCGAACTGCACCGACTGCTACCAGGGATACTACCGGCTGAACTCTAAGTGTTTGGGGAACTGTCCGGACGGGTACTTTGCCGACAGTGTCAACAACGTCTGCACACCGTGTAGCAGTGAATGTGCATGGTGCTCTGGCGCTAGTACTAATTGCACCGGTTGTGGCCTAGGCAAGTACCTGCAGAACAATACCTGTGTGGCAAAGTGCGGCACCAAGTTTATACAGGATTCTCAACCGGAAATACGCTTAACCCAACTAACTTCCTTGTTCGAGGGAATCCTAGAAGCTTACTTTGAGGGACAGTGGAGACCTATTTGTTACGACGGGAAACCTCCATCTCAGTTCGGACAGAGAGTCTGCCGGGAGTTAAATCTTGGCATTGCTCTTAAAACAAGTGAGAGTCCACGCAATTTTTACGATATGAGCGTATTGAAAGTTTTTCATTGTTCCACATGGGACAGAACGATCACGGAATGCATTCACTTTGCTAACAGCTTCTGTTCGTATAACTATGTGAAGGTAAAATGCAGTGGACCAGACACATCGCGACGATGTCTGCAGCACTGTCCCACTGGTCATTCGGGCTGGTCTGACGGCCGTTGTCACCAATGTCATTTCTCTTGTGCTGAGTGCTTCGACCGTTCAGACTTCTGTACCAAGTGCAACTATGGATACGTAGCCGAGGTGAGTGATTGATAGGACGCTGCTGTCGCTGCCATTGCTGTTACTGCCTCCCACAGGCTCATTGCGCAGCGATTTGATTTGCAGAGGTTTAAAAACACGACAAACAGCCACCTGGGTGGGCATGGTCGTGCGGGCTGATGGACAGTGCATTACCGATGCCAGCATACCCACACGGGCATTACTTGTGCCTTCCCCGATAAATGTAAAAGTCTCCAATATTAGTAGGGCTGCAACGGGTACGGCTTTGGTCGGGTAACAGGCTTGGCTATTTTTATCCGGGTAGCACGGGTACTCTATCGGGTATTTTTTGACACAGTTTGTAATGTGAGTGTACATTTCCACTACATACTGTGTAAGCAGAAATATTCGTCTGGAATTTAAGGTAGCTCATGCCGAAATACTTTTTCCGAAAATTCACCAGTTTAACACCTTTTTTGCAATGCTATGGGTGTCCAGAATGAGAAAATCAATATACTAGGGAATGTAATTGGACACTTTGGAGGGGTTATGGCCCCTCGAAGTAGCCCAAACAAGGCGTTCTCTAAGAAAGAGACAGGTTTACATTGAGGACAATAAAATGCTTCCAACCTTCATCTGTTGCTTCTTGCAATCATGTCAGTAATTCCCATGGTATCAAAACATGTCAGGGTAGGTTTATCAGCAAAAATACACTGGTTGAAAGTACAGGTTTCTGTGCGAGGAGACGAAACAAGAATTCCGAACCCTGATTCGATATGGTTCCAAAATGCTTTGAAACTTAAATTTTGCAAAATTGGCCCGAAAGTGATTGTGTTTTTCTTTCTACTTGCATGGCACTGCGTCAGTATCATAAAATTATGTCAAAATGATGTTAGGTCATTGCACTCGTTTGACCACTGTTTGTAGAAACATGCGAAGAAATGATCGTCTCTCGCAATTGAACAGTGGGGAAGTATTAAGATGTCTTGGCTATCAGCAGTTACAATAAAACATCCATGCAGCATTGTGCATAGGCTTTTCTGACATGAGGCGCTAGTCGCTGAAGTTGTCGCTCGCAAATTCAAGCTGATTTATTCTTCGGCGATGTTCTAAAAGAGAGAAGCGGGTTTGCCAACTGACAACTGATCCATGAATTTGCCATCGAATAGCCACTGAATTGCCGCTGTGTTGAATGGCAACTGAATACCGCTATTGTCTCTCCTTTAGTAGCTGCTAGCAGCTGAATAGTGCAGTTGAGTTTAAATAGCAACAGAGACCTTCGCGGCACGAAAATTTGGTGTTTTCATAAATTGGGCTGGTTCACGATGAGAAACTTTTGCGATTCTATCTCTTCGGTCAGATCTTGTACTGTCTACGATCAATGTACGGAGGAGAGGTTTGCGGCGATTTATATTCGCGAATGTGTGATGGTCGCGAAAATAGTGAAATTTAATCTCTAGCAAAAGTTTCTCACTTGACAGTAGTCGGCGGTAGCAGCAATCTCTCCTTTGAATGAAAAAATCACGGTTCGCGTGAGGCTTGGCTAGATGCCCAGTTTTCCACAACCGCAGGAACACCACCACCCTCTATGATCAAGGCGCAGGTGCAGCTCTTAAAGTGGCGAGACGTGAGCAGTTCAGATCCACCACCAAAGTGATCAAAGACTGAAAATCCCATTCGCTGCATCCATGCTTCCCTCGTGCCAGGCCACGAGTTCACAGTGAACTGTGGATACCGGTAGCAGAATGTCTGGACAAACCTTCCACTTATAAGCAGGACTTGAACCTGGTACGGTTTGTTTCTCCATCACAGTCTTACAACACGATTCCATTACGCCTGCCTACTCTTTTGAGTGGCAACTGAAAGTCTGAATGGAGAAGTTTTCAATTGATCCCCCCCCTCCCCCTCCCCCCCCCTCCCCATTTTATGTTTCAGTCGCCGTACACTTGTTAACCCTCTTGGTTCTAAGTTAGTTTGCTACACACTATGCTAGGCAGTGTGCTCTGCTGTGAGGACATGTGCAGCAAATCTGTGTGCATGGTGCATAGCGCAACGCTGCGTAACAATGCGGGCATTTGGACGTACAAAAAGTGCTGTGGGTACATGTGTGGAACACTGGATCATCCGGAAAAGTAGAGTTAGAAGAAAATAGGGGTTTAAATTACCGTATTTTCTCTAATATAAGTGCGGTCCTTTATTTTTTCAGTGTACCTTCGCCCCGTGCTATTAATGGAGACGTTCCTTTATTGGAGACTGTTCCATTATTATTTCAACCTCATTTCAGAGGCATGTTGCCATGCCAAATTCATGTCAGACACACACATTTCAGGGTTTTTTCGCCGGCACTGCATTTTAGACATTACACGGTACATGCATTTTACCAGGTACCGATAGACAGTGTGCTTATAATGGAGACTGAGCACTTTATGTTTTGAATGCCGCCCCAAGGTGTTCTATTATTGGAGACGTGCTATTATTGGAGACTGTGCTTTTATTAGAGATAACACGGTATCATGATTCCAGGCGTAACGAAGGTTCAATATAGCTATGTAGAGATAAGTAGAACAGGTGCTGTAAGACTGGGAATTTTCCGTGGTGTGTTATTTTCGGTATTCCCCATAATCAGCGGTTCGGTAGCGCGAACATTTCGGTACACCCGATTTCTGTACTGTAGTCGGCTTGCATGTATATCCATTTTCGGTGCGATTTATTTCCTGTAAAAATCACCTGTACCGAATGTACAGAAAATGAATCCCCGCCGAAATTATCCGGTTTTAGAGCCGTCTTAATTCAACTGTGTGTTTCTTGCAAAGAACTGTGGCAAACACCAGCTTGCAACAGTGAGAACCGTGTGCAGGTGCCACTACACACTTGGTGGGTCAGGCATTTCTTGGTGTTCAAGGGACCGTGCTCCTCTTCCTCTTGTTTGGGTGTCTACTGAAACAGGCAGGCGAATGCAAGGTATCTTGCAGCTCTGACTTTTACAACGACCGTGGTGCATGCGTGCAATGCCATTCATCCTGCCTTCATTGCAACGGGAGAAGTGAAACCGACTGCATTGAGTGCAAGCATGGTGAGTTCTAGCTACATTGCACAATTTTATTATTGGGCATTCCCTAGCCAGGTTTACAACATCAGTGGATACAGTGGGGTTTTCGCACTTTGAGAACTACATCATTCACAACAGCAGAAAGGATTTCTTTTTCATATTGGGTGTATTTTTTACCGTAGGACGCAGTTTTGTACTCGTTGTGAACTGGCTCATTGTGCCCGTACGTTAGGGCAAGGTCAACAGAAATAAACCCAATGCACACTGCACAGATGTCCGAAATTCACAATGGCGAGGATTCCCAGATTTAATACCTAGAAAGCTCAGCACCACAAGGATGGTGCAATATCACAAAGTCAGAAGAGAACAGAGACAACCGGCTAGGTCATTGTTGTAACCAGCTGTCGCAGGATTGCCTTAGCTTTGCTTAACAGACGAAACGCAGCACTACCACGATGACCTAGCCGGTCTGTTCTCTTCTGCCTTTGAAAACTCTGTAGGTGCGTGCATGCCTGTTTGAGTGTTCATTGTGCGCTTTACATGCGCATTTACCCAATCAAGCCCAGCCTGTGGAATGCAGTCCCCTTTCCAGCATCATCCCTGTAGACAGAGTTAATGGTCAGAGCTATTGACTAAAAAAATAAATAAATTCACGGTCCGCGTGAGACTCGGCCAAAGGTCCAGTTTTCTGCATCCGCAGGAACGCCACCACCCTCTTGGATCAAGGCGCAGATGCAGCTCCTAAGCGGTGGGAGGTGAGTAGATCAGACCCACCACAAAGTGGTCAAAGACCGAAATCCCATTCACTAGCTAGACTAGCTAGATATTATTTTTTTATTATTGCAAATAGCGCTGAGTAATTACACGAATGTATAAAACCATCATTTGCTTCCGGGAAGGATTTACAAAAATAAGATAAAACACCATGGCTCAATGCAACTGCACATACGAAAAGCTGCTTCTATTGTCAAGTTCAAGAGGCAATGTCAGAAAGACGGTAGACTGTTCATGATGTTCACACTGCAGGGGATAAGTCAAGGACGCGGCTCGGCAGAGGAAGATGAGTGCTGCGGGGTGCCATTCCACCGTGACTTATCCCCTGCCAGCTGCCGCAGCTGGTTGAGGCATCTCTACTAGCTAGGTATTCTGCGGACAAAAGAAGATTGCAAGGAATGACTTCAGGGCTCTTTTTTAGTGCAGGTGGCAGAAAGCACATCTCGATGGCACATGTACTGCATGTTCAACACCCAACCGAGTCTTCCGGATCCTATGGGATTTTTTCAAATACGCTTTTGCTACTTTGCCGGCATCCAGGTTTAGATCAGCCTTTCCCACACAATATTTTCCATGTACCTTGTATTGGTCATCCATCCATATTTTAAAAGCATGGAGAGATGTGAAAGAGTTATTGCTCAAGATAGTCCATCGATTCTGCCTCGTTAACCCTGTAAGGTTCGGTAGACAAGAGACAAGTAGCTTATTAGTTAGAATACACCAAGTCGGCAAACGAAGCACAGAAGCCATAATAATTTCGACTAGGCCTTTTGTTCCCTTACGCTTCAAGTCGAATACAAATGTTCGGTTAACGTAGGAGTTAACCATTGTTAACAGTCACGCACCATTGCTTCGCTGTTGGCCTTTATATCGGGTTGCATAACCCTCCTTACGTGTGTGCACGATCTTGCTCTCTCTACATACTGCCGTGTATCATTGACATCACATGCCCACGCTCTGCGCATGCGCAGATTTCCTGTGCGCACAACAGAGCTTGCTGTCTTTCCAGTTTCCTTGCCTGCAGTCAGCTTTCAAATTCTGACCCACCCTCTTCATCCCATTTCTTACTCTTACACTCCACTCCACATATTTTGAAACACACGGATGCGGGCACTCCTCCGTAACTGGCCTCTCGCGCACTACTATTAAACTCGCATGGGTCATAAACCGCTCCTGCTCAGCGCAGGCCGACCCACCAACTTGCATGGGTCACAAACCGCTCCTGCTCAGCCCAGGCCGACCCACTTGGTCACACACAGCTCCTGCCCTCGGTAGGCCGATCACACGATTCGTTAACGCGCACTAATTTGAGGCCGGCTACTCTGCCCGACATTCCCATTCTTCCAAACTTCGTCTGCACGCGTGTGTGTCTACTCTATACTCTAGCATGGGGAGTAGAATGTTAATGGTGATTAACACGGTAGCAAGCAAGTCCTTATAACCGGCACATTGGCGGTCAGAGCATAGACCATAATTATTTGGTCTATGCTCGGACCGCCAAATATGTTGTTGGCGCCACTAGCGCTATTTTTCAAGTGCTATTTTTGTCAATTCTCTGACCGACAAAGTGCCGGTTATAAGGACTTGCTTTCTACCTTGTTAATCACCATTGTATTCGACTCGAAGAGAATTGGTGCGAAAGGCCTAGTCGAAATTACCGTACTCATTCGATTAGAAGCCGGGGCCTTCTATTTTTTAATACCAATTTTGAGGAGGCTTCTATTCAAGAGGGGCTTCTATTCGAGAGGGGCTTTTATTGTTTCATTCCATACCAGTATTCCAATCGAATCTCTAAATTTTTCATATTCACAGCAAATCGGCCCCATGTTAGTTTGCACACACTACGTCGACCAGGACATGTACCAATATGAACATGCACGAGATTTTTTTGTGCACTTGACCTTCAGACATGGCACTACCTGGTCACCCCATTCTTTGCAAATAGTAATTCGGGCTTCTATTCGATAGGGGCTTGTATGTTTTCAAACAGTCCTTGTAGGGGGCTACTATTCAAGATGGGCTTTTATTCGAGAGGGGCTTCTAATCAAGTGAGCACGGCACAGTCGTCCCTCTCTAATCCGGCACTTGTTTATCAAGCACCCTTGCAAACCAGCACACTTTCTGGCAAAACGGATTTTTTCAGTTCATTTTCTACGCTTTAATCCGGCACTTGAATTCCGCGTCCGGCAGCAATTTTCTGCAAAAAATCACTCAAACTGTACATAATTTGATTTTCTAATCCAGCAGTTGTACATCGCATACCATACCGGTGCCAATATCCTATGCCAGTGCATAGGATATTCCCAAGTGTATGCTATAGACATGGCATGTAACAGACAGGCATTCCACAAACTTGTGACAAAGTACTTGGATTGACACAGAAAATCCCTACATTTTGACGTACGACACAAACATGTACGTTTCTAGATGAGCCGGGTTGGAGGGCAGGATTTGATGATCCAGCACCCTTGTTTATCCTGACAGAAAATGCCGTTGCAAAAGGTGCCGGATTAGAGAGGGACGACTGTATATGGCTCCTGTGCTTCGGGTGCTGATTTGCTTTCCTCCAACCAAAATATCTATTCAATACACCAAGTAGAAACACCTTTATTTAGAAACACTGATAAGATTCAATCTGTCAAAGACAGAGAAGACTCTCCAAGAGATGCATACGCAGTCAATAGAGCTAAAGTTGTACAACATTATGTCATAACATAACACGCCCCTTCGAAGATAAAATCCATGGGTGTCAACCGGACCCAACATAATAAACACAGTAAAATAATAATAATAGTACTCTCACGCCCCTTCGAAGATACCTAGTTTTGTCAACAGACAAGATGAAATTACATAGGTATGATGCCAATACGAGACCAAATGCTACAGATAAACAGTGTCGCGCATATGACTGTCCAGACGTAGATGTAATGGTGAGACGGTCAGGCGTATTGCGAATACGAGAGGTGCGGCGAACAGGCTGGGTAGCAGTTCAACAAGCGATTGCTTCACAGCGTCCATAGCGACTGTGTGCACCAGTAGCCAGAGAAACTCATTCTTGGCTGTCAGCAGACCGCGGAGAGGCGCTGCATGTTCGGCGATGGCTGAGCTGAAATCACTGCCATGGTTGACGAGAACCATGAATGATCGCAAGTCAGTTCGATTTTCACTGATCTAGAGGTCAATGATGGCGCGGGTCTTTCCCTGGTCTGTCTTCCAGCCGGACTTGTTTATCACTTAGCCCCAGAAGTTGATCTCGGTCTCAGCGAATGCAAACGTCTTGGCTGACAGCGTGAAACTGTACCGACGAGCACGTTGAAGAACTTCACAAGTTCTTTCTAGGTGCTGCTCAAAGGAATCAGTGAAGACTTGACCTTAGAGAATTGCTCAATACCAGCGAGTGCTGCGTCGGTTCGCTGGCTGAATTCGTCGCCAGCATAAATCAGACCTTGTGGGTTCTGTATGTACTCGAATCAGCCCCTGTGTGATGGATGTGGTCATGCTTCTGGACGTGTCGTCCTCGGGGACCTGCCAGTAGCCGTGGCGAGTACACTGTGTGTTACCAAGGTTGGATACGACATCACGAGGTGCGCGCATGGGGTGTGCGGGACGGGCGCCTTGGGTGTTAAGCTTTGTGAAATACACTGTCATCCGGACTTCTGCAGTGCCTTTCTTTTCTACAATGACGATGAGGTGACAACACTCTGTTGGCCTTGAGACCGGCGCAATGATGCCATCTGCGACCATCTTGTCCAGCCGGAGTTTCACCTGGTCACGATAGGCGTAAGGTTACCAACGGGCATTGTTCAACTTGAACTGCTGGGCGTCAGGCGCGAGTTGGATGTGCATCGGCTGACCGTCCATGGGTCGGAGCGTGTCCACTGCAAACACGTCAGCGAACTGATCGAGGAAGTCTTGGCGGATATGCACACACTGGTCAAGTGTAGGGTTTCTGTGCTTGGTAGAACGGGATGTCCCTTGTGTCACTGAAGTGATCTGTGGCCAGGTAGGCGGCAAGAAACCTAACGCCTTTAGCGATGAGCGCAATAGCAATGCGGTACTGAGTTCGTCGTCACATGTAGACGAACGGTGTGTGTGTGACATCATGATTGACAATCCTGGTGGGAACAGTTCCCAAGCTGGTCAATGGCTGGCCATTCACGGCGACAACATAGTCGGGGTCAGGTTCGAGATCAGCGACGCTGCCGCCAAGTCTGCGGAGATGACTAGCACCAATAGCATCAACATTCGAGCCAGTATCTGG